CTGATCACCGGATGGAAGGATTGCTTCTCCATCATCGAGTGCGGGATTGGAGGATCCGCTTCGTTGGTACGTCGAGGAGGTCCACTGGTGCCGTCGTATTTCACGAGAGGTTTGTGTTTGGCTGTTATCGGATTCATCAGAGAAATATACGAAGGTTGCCAATCAGGGTCAATCTCTGGCTCGCTGAACAACATCTCGTGGAGTAGGACTCGTAGGATAAGCGATCACCTCGTGGACTCGTACCTCGCGTGTAGCCGTATTGGTCGACGTGTGATAGGACGGACGCGATATCACCAGCGAGGACGTTGGCGTTGAATGCTCTTGTTGCACGCGAGCTGCAATAGGTCAGTGTTCGTCTTGTTGGACTTGGTTTGGTGCGAGGACACTTCTAGGTTGCCTGCTTGTGGTGTGGTGCTGCCCACGTCGAGGAGAGTCTGGGAGTTGACGGAGCGGGATGGGCGTGATTGCCCAGAGTTGTGTGTGACTACGTCGAACAGCTAGGTCAGCCGTGTAGTCAAGAATGCTCTTCTTGCCCTGCTCAGAGATATTATCCCATCCTCTTGATCCGACTTGGAAAACGACCGCCATGTGGTTCGTTCATCATGACCTTGCGTGGACCACGAGTGTCTGTCTGATGGGCTTGCAATGGACCTCCACCGGTGTATTCATATCATGGACGAATGCCTCATAGGTGTCGTCACAGGCTTCCGCTGTACCATCGTCGAAGAGAATTTCGTGTTGGTTGGTGCGACGGCGAGCGTTGCTTCGAGAGCGGTGGACGTCGCATGATTTGCATTGTCATGCAGTTGTGCTTGCTCGAGAAGGGCTGTTGGTATGCTCGAGGTTTACTGGGAGGTGTCGCCTGCAGCTTTCTTGGTCTGCAGTGCGAGACATCGTACAGGGGCGAGATTGGTGCCTTGGAGAATGAGCGTTCCAAGAAACGTCCCCCTGTTGTCAGTGTAAGGCTCGTCGCTGATCTCAATGTACTGCCGAAATTGTTGAGGAATTGGAGATGAAACCAGCTTGGGACCTCTCCATACACCTTCTGGATATCGGCGGAGGTGAGATAACACGAAATCTTATCCGAGCGCAGGGTTGCGAACATGGACTTGGAGTAATATTCGTCAATTCCTTCCAGATCACACGAGTGTCCTTGTTTGTTTCGTTGGCAAGGACGACAAGATCTTGCCTGTGCTTCTTGGAAGATTCTTCGAAGGTCTTGTACATCCATTCTCGTTGTTTCTCGTCTAGTTCGACGTTGGTGACCGTGAAGTCAGAATCAATGAGGTGGGAGAGAACTTGAGATTGAGCGTGTTGAGGAAGTTCTTCCTCCATTTTATGAAGACTGATTCGTCGCGAAACTTCTGAACTGAGCGGACGGCTTTTGTTCTTGTCCAAAGTGCGATTGCACGTCCCATCGGTCATCGTGGCATCGCTGCGTCTCATTGTTGCCATGGGACGATTTCGCCGTTGGCTGGAAGAGTCCAACTCTGAAAGCGTCGAGGGCGTCGGCCGTCAGGAACGAGCGGATGGGTGCCTTCCTCTTGGACGACCATGGTGATACATCTGTATCCCGCGAGCAGTAGCTTCTTCCTGGTGAGAGTACTGGTCTTGGAGCGCCTTGGTGTCGTCGGAAGCTGGAGATCCATAACTTCATCTTTGGTGAGAAGTAGGAGATCCATCCATCCGTCGATTCCTTGTTCAGACAGTGCGATGGCATGTGAGATGCATTGTACCTGTGTGGAACGTCTTCGCCGCATAGGGTGCAAGGACATGCTTGAGCTTGGCTTTCATCGGCCATCTTGATGGAGTGTGGAGTGCGTAACTGCGCTAGTTAATCTGCTAACGTGGGGAAATACTACTTGAATAGAGGGATCTTGTAGAGGTAGCTACCACCCCGACGAGATCAACTGCAACTATTCAAGACGAGTGCAAGGTAAATGCAAAGTTCCTCTTAGTAATTCATAATCTGTGTTGTGAGCTTTGATTGATGCGATCAGTATAAGCTAGTTGGTAGCGTGTTGGATAAATACATGTGGTAGTTGAGGTTATAGGAAGTAACGTGGTATCTGCGGGAAACGGTTCGTTGGCAGGATGCTTTACTCCTGTTCGAATACTCCAATTTACCGTGTCCTTTTGGTTTCGTTGAGAACGTGTTCTTGCCAGCGTTCTCTGTTCCATCGTGTTGACTCATAAAACATGACTCAATCTACTCACGGATACTCTGAGTCGTGGGAGGAACTGTAACGCTTTCAAGGAGGAGAAAGTCATGTGCGTTGTCAACCTAGAATCATTGGGGGTACCAATAGAGGACCTGCAATCCAGATTATAGGAAATGGCTCAAATCTAGAAGAAATTTGGTTGCAGATTCACAACCAAAAGGGTAAGTATGGGAACCTGCTAGATGTACATTCGGCTATTGCCACACCTTCCGGGGTATACTGCAACGCCTCATCCTTAAAGGGTGCATTCCGAATCGTACTCACCAAAGCTATACTGTCAACACCACTGTTGTTCATCATAGTAAGAACGATCGTGATTCCCTCATAGATAAGCGAGCCAATGGACGTATTCTTAGCAAAAATGCCTGAGTCACCGTCACACATTGGTATTTCTTCGTTCTTGCAGTTGCTGATAGACCTCAGCATTCGCAGTTCTCTATGAATTACAGGGCAAGAGCTCTAGATTCATCAGCAGCACTAAGGCAGCTTGCTGGCTTATTGCTTGGAGAGATGGATATCCACCACTAGCTAGTTGAGAATAATGAAATAGTAAAGTACCTGAATCTTGACCCAGAGCGATAGCATAACATAGCCTTGCAGTGGAGACAATCATGTGTGGCCCATGCTAGGGTAGATAGCAGTGATTCAACCATTCCAACAGCAGTGTTTGAATAGAGCTAACATTGGCAGCCAGCTCTGAGGAGCTGGTGGCCTTGACAGTCTGGACAGCCAGTGAAAGGAGATCCTCACCAACCAGAGATCTTCTAACCTGGCACTGGCCAAGTCCTTGACTGAGAGCCATCCTCCTGCTGAGGAAGGCCAGTTTCAAGAGGCTCCCTTGCTACCTAACGACCAGCTGAGATCTGAGGAAGAGATCGAGAGAGGATATTCAGAGAGAAAGACATCCCGAGATCGCATCGGTTCTTGTAGTCTTCTTCCACAGCTTCCTTTATACACCAGCTTGACGAATTTGACTTTAAACCCTGTTTTTTAGAGAGTTTTCGCTGTTGCTAAAAACTCAGGGGTGCTTTCTGTATGCTCTCTTCCTACAAACATGATAGCATCATGCAACTGCAGTATTGTCTGAGAGGCTCCACAAGTGGATATGTCAAGGCTCTGCACTATGATACCCATGTTGGCAACCTGGTGGCTAGCCAGGACCAACGCGTACATGTATTATGTCATCAGCTAAGACCCAAGTCAAGATCAGCCATTGCTATGTTCTATGGATTGCTAGTATTATTGGGGTGCTGTTCCAAAAGAACTGTGCCGCTACCTTGTTGTAACAGTAGTGGCTGGATTACACCATTACAACAGTGGTGACCAGACACAACCTGTCACCTGCAAAAGGGCTATCATACACAGGTGCAACCACAGGAACAGAAAACTTCAGAACAATCAATTGAAAGGCTTTCCAGTTTGACCCCAAAAAGTCCACAAACTTCGGGGGGAACTTCGCTGGACAAAAAGGTTTTGTGGAGTGTGACTCTTTGAAGATTTGTGAGACGCTCCAACTCAGCAGGCACAGTGCCAGAGATGGCAGTGTTGTGAAGGAATAGCTCCGCCATTGCATAATAGGTCTGACTTGGTGATCTAGGAATGGTTCCTTGCAGTCTTCTGTTGTCGTACAAATGAAGTGCAACCAAGCTTGTGAGTGCCAAAAGATTTTCTGGTATTGTCCCCACAAGATTGCAGTCATCTAGCCAAAGACCCCGAAGCCTTGTCAGCGATTCAAGCTCGGTTGGAATAGTCCCAGAAAGGCGGTTCCCAAAAAGGCTCAACTGCAATAAATTGGCATGTAGCTGCCCAAGCGATGCGGGAATTGTTCCAAAGATGGAGTTGGAGTAGACCCATAATCCATTCAGGTTGGACAGTGAGCCAAGCTCCAAAGGCAACCTTGTAAGTTGATTCATGGACAGATCCAAAGAAACTAGAGATGTAGGCAAAACCCCAATTGCACCAGATAAGAGGTTGTCAAACAGCCACAATTCCTCAAGGCCGTCCATCAAAGTAAATGCAGGTAAGGAACCCTCCAGGTGATTGTTGGAAAGATCCAAAATCTTCAGACTCTTCATTTCCAATGCTGGGAGGTGACCCGAGACATGATTGTTATCCGCAAAGAAGTTCTCTAGCAATGAAAGCCGCGAGAACTCCAGAGGAAGTGTCCCAGATAGACCATTCTGGCTTACCTGGAGAGAATACTGAAGTTGACCAAGGTTTCCAATTTCGGACGGAAGTGTCCCAACTAGCCTTGATCCTGTCAGTATCAGCTCCTGAAGCCTGGTGAGCAGACCAATCTCAGTGGGGATGTCATTGTTATTGTAGTGGCTTGATCCAGGATAATCTCTCAAAGTAGCCCCATTGAGGTCGTTGTTACTGCTGCCATTGCTATCTGCTGCGTGTCCGAGTGGATTGTGGGATACATCCATGTACAGCAAAGAGCTCCCAAGCCGCCCAATTTCTGATGGTATTGCTGGCTCCATTGTGTATGTACTTGAGAACCCACATCGCTGCAACCATAAGACCTGAAGATCAGTTAGCCTTCCAATTAGCGTGGGTATTGGTCCTCGTAGCTGTGGGTTGTCAAAGAGTTGAATTTGTTGCAGTGATGTCAACCAAAACAGTTCTGGGGGTAGGGTTCCATCCAGCCCAGAGTCTGACAGGAAGAGTCTACGAACATGCCCATGACTATCACATGCTTGTGAATAAAATTGGCACTCACTGCCATCGTAACTCAGCCAGGATGTGGCGGCAGGTCCTTTCCACTGTTCTCCACTTGTCGCATAGTACAGAGTGGCCAGTGCCATTCGTTGAAACTGTTGCCATTTGGGATAGTTGCTTAGGTATGGATCTTGAAGGAGCCACTGGTATGCTCTCACCTGGGGTGCAGATTGGTCGCCACCAGCCAAAATTTGGGCAGTCGATGCTGGAAAGTCTTCCAATTGCAGTGATTCAATAGTGTTTTCCACTCCTGGAGTTGGCCTGATGACAGGAGGTGTAGGGGCAGGGGCAGATGTGGTCAAGCCAACGACAAGATCAGTTGGCGAAGTTGTTGCGCTTGTATCGATAATAGGATCTTGGACAATAGCATTAGCTTGCGAGTTTTGGTCCTCTTTCTTTTGGAAGGACCCAAGTGTCATGATTAGAATGAAACCAGTAAGACTGACTCCGACCAGCAAAGCTGCAAGCGCAAACACCATTCCGGGGCTTTTCCAGGAAGGAGCTGTTGTCATTTCCTTCTCTGGCGGTTTACTAGAACGAGAATGGCTCGCACGAGAAGCTGAATCAAGTTTTCGTGCTCCCTTTCGCTGCTTTTCTGCTTCTCTTTGCTGCGTCTGTTTGCGCTCTTTCACGAGTTGCTGTGTCATCGCCAGATAGTCGCGAGTGGTTGTCTTTGAGTAATGAGAAGACGCATTGGATGGATCTACGCTTTGATTGTTGGCGTCCACAGGTGCCACAGCTTCTTCGTCTCGGAACATGTCGCTGTGCGAAGACAGAGTGGATAGTGCGGATTCCTGCCGTTTTTGCATCCCAGGCAGATCTAGCTGAAGGTATTGACCAGTGCCTGAGCCTTTGGCGACCAAATTGTCGTCTACGGATCGTTCATCGGTCAGAGTGGACATTGCAGAGGTGTTGGCAGCAGTAGATGTAGATGTACCGGTAGGAGGAATCGGTAGCTTTTTGATGCTGCGTTCCGAGGGAGATTTGTTGTTGTCGAGAGCACGTCGCTCATGATGTTCTTGTTCTTCTGGTGTTGGCGATACTCCCACGACACGAAAACAGGGCGGAAAGGGATCTCCATCGACATGAATTATCTCGTCCGAGCGAGACTTCTTCCTCTTCATAGCTGGCCGCACAAAGCCTGTTAGGGAGGCAGGCGGCTCTAGAACTGTACCAGCTTGGTGCTTCACCCGAGGAACTTTGGGTACGACTGGCGGGGCACTGGGGATTTCCTGCAGCGATATTTCCAGCACGTGATCCCTTGTCTCAAGGTGTGGCATCATCATGTAATCTGGTCGGTTGCTCACACTGGCAGCGTTGGTGTCGGCTGCTGTCGGATGAGATGGTTTCCTGCCAAAGCTTCGCCCTCGCTTGTTCTTTCGTCGAGGTATTCCAACCACCTCAACGCCCATTTCTTCTCCCATGAGTTCATCATCTTCGTGCTGCGGTATGTTCATCATCTACTAGCTAGTGTCTTGGTTCTAAGGTTGTCAATAACCACAACATGACCACATCCGCACGCACCAGGGACTTGAAATTCAAAATGACATATTTTTCGCAGATGAAGAAATGTGTGCGCGCGTCCCGTTATTTTTTTGGCCCCTTTGTTAAGTAATTGCGGGAGTGGGATTGCTGTTGAAATCCCAGGTCACGGTGACATTCACAAATCAGAGGCTACAGTACTGTACTGATATAGCTACTCTAGAGTAGAGTACGGTACTGCTACCTAAATGCTCAAATAAATGCTCTCCATCTCCCAACATGTACAGTACTACTACGGTACATGTACCGTACTGTGTACCTAGCTAGCCTTCTACTCAGTGGCTAGGAATGCCGCTAATACCCTTAGCGGGGCACAGGTGTTGCCTCATGAATTGAACCATTCAATCCGACAAACAAGCAAGTCGCTCAGCACTGGCCAGGAAGGCACCCGGTGACGTCATAAAGTCGTGTTTTCTTGAAAGTCGCGCAAATCGCCAAAAGTCGCGCTCTTTCGCGACTTAAAAGTCGCGAACGACTTTACCACGACTTTACCGCGACTATTACCGCGACTTTCGCGACTTCCGCGACTTTTCCGCGACTTTACTTAGTAAATCCCTCCATTTCACCACGACTTTACCGCGACTTTTACCGCGACTTTTAAAGTCGCGCACGACTTTACCGCGACTTTACAGCGACTTTAATAGCGACTTTAATGTGCTTTAGCGACTTTACAACGACTTATGCTATGTAAACGCGACTAACTATCGCCAACCGGTTGCCTTCCAGGAACTAACATTTTTTAGTTCCATTAGCTCTCGTGTTTGGTTTGGCGGATTCATCATTCGATTCGGTTGCAATTGCATGTTTGCACCTTGGGGCCACGAGAGGTAAGGGTCCCGGTACTCGTCCCAGGGACGACCGGTCGAGGGGAGAGGGGGCGACTTTCTATTTGATACTGCAGTGTTGCAATTGGTGGCTTGCACTTGCCTGCTGCCACAAACCAACAACTCAATCTTCTACTACTAGCTAGTGCCATCTTTCTCGTACCTTCCCAATGAAGCCCCTCCCTAGCTAGCTCCGGTACGGTATTGGTGTTTGGTGTGATGGTACTGTAGCGGAATTACGTCTCATGGAGACGACGCACCTTTTGGTTACCCCCTCAGTAGCACTCTGGAATCGATTTGCCGGCGTTTACTGTGTCAAATAGAGTACCCGCACTTCAGTTGCAGAATCAACGGTCATGTGTATCGTTAAGAAACAAGTTCCCTTTCGAAAGATTTAGATCGATTCGTGGATAAAAAGAACCGTTGAAGTTACTAAGGTTAAGGTTAAACCAACTCATCGCATGCGCACGTACTGGTACCGGTACCAGGTACAGGACCAGCCAAATCCATTATTGAAGGTGCAGCACTTACTTCTCTCCCTCATTGAATTCGTATGGTAAACAGGAGGTAAATCCAAGCTTGGCCGACAACAATGCATGGTGAGTGCTTTATCCAATCGGCCGATCGATCGAATCGATTCGAGGTAAGCCTATTATCAAGAGCGTTTGTTGAAGGTGCAGCGCTGAATTCTCTCCCTCATTGAATTTCTATGGTATTCAGGAGAGAATTCCGAGCTCGGCCGTCAACAGGTGAGTTGTTTTAGTTATTCGAATCGATCGCTCGCACCTCTATTATCCAAGCCGCTCACTCAAGCCGTCCTTCTCCGGTGTAGATTCGAAAGCCATTCCTCATTGAATCCTATGGACGATGGGATGGCAGTCAGTTCTCGGCCCATGACGGCCAAGTTGGTGCAATTTGAAAAACAATGGTAAGTCTCCGGTCGTCTGCAGTTGAGCACAGAAAACAAAACTCATATCTATTTGTTGTTTTCTCTGCTGCACTGCTGACGGCCGATGAACTACCATTGTCGACGATCGATCGCTCCGGATAACAAGAGGAGAGGCTACCGCTACGGAGGAGGAGGCTCTGTTAACTCCAGCCCTACCAACAGCATGAACGGAGGAAATCGTCGTCGAGTC